GTTGTCACCCCCTTGGACTCAGCACATCTGGACTGGTCTGTCTGTCTGTGAGGTTCCCTATTCTAGAGGAATGAGGAAGAACTAGAGAGGGTCTAGAGGAGATGTGACAGGATGGAGCTTTTCTTGGTGCTGGAATGAAAAGAAACTTGTAAAGTGCAGCTTGGAAGGTTCAAACTGGATGTGAGGAAGAAGTGTCACTCAAAGAGGAGCTGCAGGACTTTTGCATTAGACCTCTGATGGCCCATCAAAGCCCATTCCCCCCTCGGCCAATCTTGAAAGGCAGGAAAAACCCTTTTCCCAGGCCCCTCACGGGAACTCTGCACAGGCCCAGGAGATGTTGGGGGTTCGTGGCATGGCCCGGGACACCATCCATGGATATAATAACTCATAACTTCTTGGAGTGTGGGGGCTTCCCTCCCCCACCCCCAATGGATCAAGGCCACCACTTCAACTGACAGCCATTGGAGCTGCAACTGCCAAGTTCCATCTCTGGACCCCGTGGGCAGTGACTATAGACATCTTTCCACTCTCGTCTCTGCTTCCTCTTCCTCTCCCTTACCCTTATCCTGCCTTTCCCTTATGCATTTTCCCTAAAGGTTCTCTTTATGCCATATTGCTGTAGATGAGAGATAGAGATGATAACACCCAAAATGGCAACATACCTGTTTACCTTTGAAACAAAACTGTTCTAAAATAAACCCTACATATATATGTTTTCAAACACCAATTATTCAGTCACCTCCAGTGTGATCCTGCTTGTTCCCAGTATACCCCAGTTGCGCCAACATGGTCCCAGCTGCCCTCAGGACGCTCCCAGTCACTCCCAGTATGACCCCAGCCGCTTTCACTGTGAGCCCAGTTGCTCCCAATAGGATCCCAGTTGTGCCCAGCATGGTCCCAGTTGCTCCCAATTGCTCCCAGTGGGATCTCAGTAGCTCCCAGTTGCCCCAAGTGTAGAACCACTTGCTGCCAGTATGATCCTAGTCTGATCCCAGTATGATCCCAGTACATATGATCCCGCTGGATCCAGTCTGGGTCTCGGTGTATCCCGGTGTCCCCCCTGTCCCCCCACCCCGGTGTCACCCCCTTTTCTCTCCCCACAGAGCTCCTGAGCCGCCAGCGGCCGCAGCCCCTCCCCAGAGCCTCGGGCCCAGCCTGGACCCCCCCCATCCCTGTGAGGATTTTGGGGGGTCGTGTGTCCCCCCCTCCCCTGCTGTCACTCTGCCTCCACCTGGCTGCTCCCAGTGATCCCAGTAAAGCTTCCCAGTTCTCCCCAGTCCTGGTTATTGGGGGCAGTGGGGAGGGTCTTGGAGGGTCTCTGTGAGGTGGAGCTGAGTTTGGGGGGGGCAGAACCGACCCCGGGATGGATCGGGAATGGGGACCCCCCCGGTGTTTCCCCAATGTCAGCCTGTTCTGGGGGGGCTTTGGGAGGGCACCTGCTCCTCAATAAAGCACCCAGCTCACCCCAAAAGGTGCTGGGACACCCCAAAAGCTTCCCCAGAGCTCCCCAAGGACCCCCAAACACACTCAGAGCCCACCCAGGACCCCCCCCAACCCCTTTTCTGGGGGACTTCTCTGGGCACTGGTGGTGCTGGGAGCCCCCCCGGCTGCGGGCGAGGAGCTCTCGGGTGAGCGGGGGGTGGGAAGGGGGAGATTGGTGGGAAAAGAGGGGTCAGAGGGGATAAAGGGGTGGTGGGACCCCAAACTGAGTGGGAGGGGACTGGGACCCCCCAAAAGTGGAGGGGGAGGGGCACTGAAGTTTGGGGGATGATGAGAAATGGGTGGGAGAGGTCAGAAGAGTGGGGAAAGGGAAGGGTGGGACCCCCAAACTGAGCATGAGGTGGCTGGGGAGTGGGGGGATGATGTGGAAGGGGGGCAAAAAGTGGGGGTTGGGACCCCAAAAGTGATCCTGGTTGGGTTGGGGATTGAGGGGACCATGGGAAAGTGGGAGGAACAGGGAGAAGGGTGGAAAAGGGGGAGTGGTCTGGAGGGTCCAACAGTCCCATGGGGGTCTTTGGGCACCAGATTTTGGGAAAGGCAGTGATTCCCCTGAGCTCCCAACTTCCTGTGGGGTGCTGGGGGCTGCTGGATCCAATCTCAGCCTTGAATCTTGTCAACATTTTATATTTAGAGGAATTACAGAGGTGTGACTGAACCACTTTTGTTCCCCAGGTTTTAATGATGGCAAATCAGATCTATTGATAGAAATGAATTGTTTAGGGTTACAAATGATCAGACCACAGATTTTTAGAAGAATTAGTTACTGCACAATAAAAACACTAAAACTACCAGGAATACAGGATAAGATAGGACAGGGCTCTACACTAAAGCAGTTGTTGAAGCAATTCTACTAAAGCTGGCACAAAAGCAAGAATTCTTAATTGTTTTCTTATTTCTTAATTTAAGAAATACGTTTTTTTAAGAAAACTAGTAGGGTTTCTCTTACTGGTGGGTCCGTTGCTCTCTCGTCAAGTTAAAGCTGTGGGTAAAGCTCTTCCCACACTCCCCACACTCCCACACTTGTAGGGCCTCTCCCTGGTGTGGATGCGCCGGTGCCTGAGGAGGGCAGAGTTCTGTTGGAAGCCCTTCCCGCAGTCGGTGCAGCAGAAGGGCCTCTCATCTGTGTGAATCGTCTCATGCCAGAGGACACTGGAGCTGGTGTGAAACCTCTTCCCACATTCTCCACACTGGTAGGGCCGTTCCCCAGTGTGGATGAGCTGGTGTTTGCAGAGGTTGGAGCTGTCCTTGAAGCTCTTTTCACATTCCCCACATGGGTAGGGCCGCATGCAGCCAGCTCAGAGCCGCGGGCGATACCTGGAGTCAAACTTTTTGCCATCTTTAAAGGTCCCATTGTAGTGCTAGCAAATGAAATCCCCCATCTGCGCCTCCCGCAGGCAGATTTTGGGGGTATAGTATCTGTCTATCACCACGTCTTCCCAGCGCCGGGGCCCCCAGGATGCCCAGGAGGAGGAGGAGGAGGAGGACGAGGCAGTGGCTGCCCGGGGCCATGGCCATGGCGCTGGGGCTGCAGCGGCAGAAGGGCCCGGCGGGGGGAAGGCGGAGAAGGGGGGTCCGGGACGCCCCTTCCCTGCCCGGGACGCCCCTTCCCTTCGCTTTCCCTCCCTTCCCTTCCCCTGCACCCGCCCAGCCCGGCCCTCTTGGAATTTCTCTAGACGTGTCGCTCATCTCCCTCTCCATGTTGGAGGACCTGAAGTAGGTACTGCAACCACAGAGGATGAGCTTGTGAGCCTTGAATTCTACCCCATCCACGCTTATGATTGCATCACAGAGTTTCCCTTCCAGGCGGAGCTCGTTGGCGATGCTCCAATTCCCTTCGCTCATCTCTCTCTCCACGTTGGAGGATGACTGTCTGGTGGGTGCTGAGCTATCCCCCACGTTGCAGTCAGAGGCAGTGGCCCTCGCTGACGCGTGTGGAACACTCTGGTGTTCCTGCAAACATCCAGTGCTGAACCCACTCGCTGGCTCTCTTACGGGTGGGTCCGTTGGTGTTTGGACAAGTGTCCACTCTGGGCAAAGCTCTTCCCACACTCCCCACACCTGTAGGGCCGTTCCTCAGAGTGGATGTGCTGGTGAGTGAGGAGGCTGGAGCTCTTCCTGAAGCTCTTCTCACACTCCAAGCACTTGAAGGGCTTCTCCCTGCTGGGAGGCTGCTCAGGGACCACCAGCTCAGAGCTCCCCCTCAAGCTCAGGCCGCCTTCCCGGCACAGGCTGGCTCTTTCCTCCTCAGAGCACCCTGGGCTGGCTTTGGAGCCCCTCCTGCGGGGGGATCTCCGGCCCTTTTCCTCCCCGCTGCCTTCCTGCGCCGGGGAGCCCTTCAAAACGGCCTCTCCCACCAGGGTCTGCCGGGGGGATTTGTCCTCCGGGCTCTCCGTCCTCAGCTCGGGGCCTGGGGCAGGAAGCAAGAAGGACAGGCAGGGGATTTGCCTCCGGCCCACAGGGAAGGCCAAGGACATCCCCCCAACTCCGGCCCCGGCAGGACGGCGGCGCCAGCGGGGTTGTCCTGCAGCCGGGGCCATGCTGGGCTGACAGAGCCAGCACAACACCCGCCCAAAGGGACACTGACTTCCTCCTCACCTGCCTGGGGGGCCCAAGGCATCTTCCTCTTCCTCGCAGCCTCCTCCTCCATCCGCCCAAGCTTTGGGAAGGACAAATCCTGATGGGGGGGAAAACAAGGGCTGAGCACGTTGGCTTGGGGGTTCCTCCTGCCCAAGTCCATCTCTAGAACTCATCGGGCATCATAAAAACCTCCAAAACAGCAAGAATCAGCCCAGAAAAACTGAAACCACCAAGATTCAGGCAAAAATCCCTTTCAGAAATAGCAAGCAGTGCAGGAGGAGCCTCCCAAGCAGCAGTTGCAGGGCAGCAGGGACCGACTTGAGCTGCCTTTGGTGCCCAGGAACTCCCCCCACACAGCCCCTCTCCTGCCCCGAGGGACCACCAGAACAGGGGGAGCCCAAAGGACTGGACTGGAGGAATTGAACAGACATTTTGGGGCCATTTGATGGACATTTTGCAGGGGTGGTGCACAGACTAAGGGAAGGAGACCTGTGTGTTCTAGCAAAGAATGGGAAGGGGGTGGTGGGGGGTGAAGTTGTATTGAGTCGTGTGGGGCCTGGCCATGATGGGACTGGTGTGGAATAAGGGCCAGAATGTGCTGCTTTGGGCCGGGGTGGAGTTAATTTCCTTTGCAGGGGCTGGTGTGGGGCTGTGGTTGGGCTTGTGCTGAGCACAGGCTTGAGAACACAGAGGTGGTTTGGTTAGTGCTGAGCCTCCCCAGAGCCAAGGCCTTTCCTGCCCCTGGCACAGACACACTGGGGAGGGGCTGGGGGTTTGTAAATAAATCCTTGTGTTTCCATTACTGTCCTGAAGTAGGTACTGCAACAAGAGAGGATGAGCTTGTGAGCCTTTAATTCCACACCATCCACGCTTATGATAGCATCACAGAGTTTCCCTTCAAGGCAATAAAACTACTTCTGAACCAGCAGAGTCTTCTGGGTGCTGTGGTTGACTGGACACGACGAGAAGTCCAGCTGGTCAGGGAAGTCCAAGACTGGGCGGGCACCAATGGCCCGGATTGGCACAGTGAGCTTTTCTCTTTTGCTGATGCAGACAAGCTGGTGGAAATGATCCTGCAGGAAAAGAGACTGGCACAGCATTGAGGGCATTGAGTGCCATCCTCATGGCAGAAGAAAAAGGGCTGTTTTCTATGACCCTTTGTGGGCATGAATTGACCTCTCCCACCCCAAAAATGACCACTAATTCATACTAATAAAGGCTGGAGAACAGAGCATGTGAAAAAGCATCATTTTTGCTCCATTCCATTGGGAAATAATAAAGCTCTCTGGATCATCTTTTTGTTCCTCTGGTATTTTCCATAATTAAACCCCTTCCAGTGAGCCTAGAGGTGGCTAAACCTCAACACCCCTCCCTGTCATTTCCATGCTGTTCCATCTGCCTCTTCCCTTATGAATGTTCAAGAATAGACACGGAGGGAAAGCACAGTCCTCTAGGCCCAGCTGCAGGGCCCGGCAGCACCACGCCGTGCCAAGGTGTGACCAGCTCCAGGCTGCCTGCCCCCAGCCCAGAGCCGACCTCACAGCATGGGCTGGGCTATAACCAGTGTGCAACAAACGCCCTGGCTTTAGAGAGAACGTTCTTCCCAACTCACCTTGCTCCCCTCAGGGGTGAAAAGGATGTTTATAGTGCAAAATGAGCCCGGTGGGATCTGATGGCACACACCATCGGGGCCGACCAACTTGAAATAAGGTGAGCTGTCCATGGTGACCTTCACCAGCTGAGTAACCTGCAGGAAAGACACAAAATGGTGATTTTGCCACTTGTGCAAACAGGAGGAGACCTGGGTGTGCCCTGGTGACAGCCTTCCTTGACCACTTTCCCAAGGGACTTTTAGCTCTGGAGGTACAAGCACAGGCTACACAAGGGTGAACTTGGATCCCTCTGCCTGGGCAAAGCAGCTCGGCCAGAGGCAGTAGGGCAGTGCCTGCTGGGAAGGAAGGTCAGGCACCAGCAGTATGGAGATAGAACACCTGAACCAAGTCATTCTCATTTCAACAAGCCCAGAGAATCTGCCTGCTTCTGCCTGCACACAGCCACGCAGCCCTGTTCCAGAGGGAGAATGTGCTACCTGAAGGCAAACCAGCACATTGTCCTGGGGGCTCTTGCTGCCTGGTGACTGTGGCCAGGCAGCTGCCAGTGCAGGCAAGCCAGACTGCTGGGCATTCCTGCAGCCACCCTGCTGCCAGTTTCTGCCCTCAGGGGAACACAGGCACAGGGACAGCAAACAGGCATTTGCTAGCACAGGGGTATCAACCCCTGAGCACCAAATCCCATCTCACAACCTCTAAACCAGGTGATTTGGACTCCCTGCTGTCTATTCCCACCAGCTTGCTCTTGGCACAAGAGTCATTTGAGAAATGGTTTCCTTGACTGAAATTCAAAAGGTCTCAGTTTTCCTCTTTACAGGGCAACACAATTGCTGACATTTTTCAACTTCTTCCTTCTCAGCTTTTGTGGGCAATTGCAAAACAATCACACTTTGTTCAAGTGAAGGTGGAAACCCTCAAGAGCCCATTGCTCTGGATGTCAGATACCACCAAGGCACGGCCAAAATCAGGGGACAATCCTCAGCACGGGAAAATTCCCACCATCTTGCAAATCCAAGGTGGTGAATCTGGATGGGCCACAGCTGATACTTGCTCTGCTGTAAACCATGGGGGTTACACCACTCTGCTCTTCTTCTAGCACAGTGTTAAAGCGCCACATCCCAGCACTTACCTTGTCTCTATTCCTCAGAAGCAGGGCCGTTTCACAGACCTTGCCAAGGACATAGTTCTGAAACACCAGCTCGGATGGGACAGGCTCAAGCAAGGTCTTGTTCCGGTCAGGGGATGAGAACTGGAGAGGTGAGAGAGAGCAGGGAGAGGTTCAGCTGCTGGGAGGAAGGTTCGTGAATGCCTCTCCTCTCTTGATCCCTGGTGAAGGACAGGCTCTTGGTGACTAGGTCTGCCCAGCTGCCACTGGGGGAACAGTAGCTCACCCACCTCTGCTCTGAGCTGATCAAAAGCTGCTGGACCACACTAAGCAGGCTCAAGCTGAGCAGCTCTTTTGGCAGGAGTTTCTCCAGCTTTTCTTCTCCAAAATGCCAGGCAGCGCTTACCTCCAGCACAGCCCTGTGCTAATGGGGTCCCAGAGCTCTGGGCACTCACTCAGCACTCAAGCAGTAAGTGAAACTCAAGAATTTACATCAGACTCCATAGGAAACAATTTTTGGGTGACCTTTACTCTGAGGCAGGGAGACTGAGGCCCACACAACTCCGGACTCTAGAGCTTAGACAGCAGTAAGAAGAGAACAGCACCAGAGAAGGTTAAGGGCAAAAAGAAAGTACCACAGTAGATAGGGATAGGACAAATAAGGTGAGTGCTGCATGAGGATAAGGTTCAGCTCTTTTCCCAGCAGTGCTGGAGTTGTGTTAGACTGGGAGGAATTCCCTCAGGCCCTCAGCCTTCAAAGGCCAGCACTGCCACTGTGCAGGGAATCCTATGACTCCCAGCATTTGCCAGTGACAACACCAAAGCAAGAGGTGGCTCTTTCAGTGGGACAATGGAAAATGGCAAGCTCGTGCCCTTGTGTCCTGCCCCAGCCTTCCCCCGCTATTGTGCCTTCGCCATGGCAGCTAAACTCCAGCAAACCCCACCAGCTTCAGCAGAAATTATTTGTGTTGGCTTAGCACAGATCAGGACTCCAGCATCTCACTAGGAGAAAACGTTTTGCCTTTGCCCCAGCAGAAGGAACTCCACCACCACCAGCAGTTTGCAACGACAACAGGACCCGGACACTGAGGGGTTTCAATGAGCTGGAGGCAAGGCACGCAGCCTCTTCAAGTGTCACATCAAACAGCAAGGAAAAGGGCAGGAAAAGGCTACCTTGGAACTGGAGTTCTCACTCGTGCCTGGAGGCCGGACAGTCTTGGGCAGCTTTGTCTCCTGAGGGCTGTCCGGCTTCTTCCTGAGCCTGAGACCAACCTCCCTGAAGTCAAAGATGGTCAGCTGGAAGGCAAAAAACCCAGCAAGAGCCTCAGAAATGCCCTTGTTTAGGAAGGCTTTTCTTGTTCAAGTGGCTCTGATGAATCATTTGTGATCACAGCCACCAGGACAGTCCTGGAAGTCCTGGACCTGCTGAAGTATTAAACATCACAAAATTAATGGTATAGAGCAGAACACACTTGCTCAGCCACACTGTCATCCTGATTATCCTGCCTATGCCCTTGGGGGCATTTTTGGAGCCAATTTACACCTCTAATATTTTTTTCTCTCCTGGAGAGAGAACTGATTCTGCTTGCACATTGTAATCCTTTCAGAAGAACTTTTCCCCCTAGTTTTCCTCACTTGTTGTTAATACTTTTATCCTCTTAAGTTTAAAAATTAAAACCTTTGCTCTGAAAGAGAGCGAAGGAAGAATGAAGAAGCTTCAAACCAAGGAGAAAAACCTTAAAATCCGAATTTCTGTGAACAGCACAAAAAGTCTCCTCCCGCTGCATTAATGCCGCCTCACGAAATGGCGATGGCCTCTGCAGGCAGCTGCCTAAAAACACCCACGGCTCCTCGGGAACACAGACATGCAATTGTTATATTTTTTTTTTCCCCCTAAAGATTTAATTTTTCTCTCTTTACATTCAGCCCCTCGGTGACTCCCGAGAGCCCTCTGCAAAGCCATAAACTGACTTTCGGAGGAGCTTTTGGACACCCCCGGGATCCTCCCCCGCGCTGCCGTGGGGCCCGTGGGTGTGTGAGGGGCTGAGGGGTCGAGCGCCTGGACACTGATAAATAAACATCAGCAGCAGGGACACGGGCCCGCCCCCGCCGCGCTGCGCAAACGGCGCAGGGATACGCAAACGGCGTAAGGCGGCGCCGCGGGCGGCACAGGAGCGGCGCTACGCAAATTGCGTAAGGGGCCGGCAATGCCCACAGCCCTACTCAAACAGCGTAAGGAGGGCGCCGGTAATGGCAACGGGGGAGTTACGTCAGTTGCGTAAAGATACGGAAATGGCGCAAGAGCCCTGCCCTCAGCGCTACGCAAATGACGGGAGGGCCACGGTGGCTTCCTGAGGGCTCGCGGACCTTTCCCACTTCATCCCAGTCCTCTCCAAAGGGCTCCCACTTTGTCCCAGTCCCTCCCTAAGGGCTCTCAGTTCCCTCCTAAGGGCTCCCAGTCCATCCCAGTCCCCTCCTAACGCCGCTGCCCACAGCCCTACGCAAACGGCGTAAGGGGGCGCCGGTAACGGCAAGGGAGGGGCGCTACGTAAACTGCGTTGGGCTACGCAAATGGCGTAAGCGCCCTGCCCTCAGCGCTACGCAAATGGCGGTTCCTTCCCCGGGGCTCCCAGTTTATCCCAGTACCTCCCAGTCCTTTCCTAAGGGCTCCCACTTCATCCCAGCTATCGCCGCGTTCTCACGCTTCCAGAATTTTCTCCCTCCGCTTCCCAAATATAAAAGGGACTTTCTGTGCTGAACACCGAGCCGGGAGCACTGACGGGCTCGGCGCAGGGGCCCTGTGCTATTTGATTTCTCTACAGTTCATGGTTTTATAATGAAGGGGGAAGGGTTAATAATCTGTCACAAAGGACTGGAGCTCTCAGAGCCAATTAGTCCTCCAGTGAACCATTTAGCTGCTGAAATAAATCCAGTCTCAGGCACGCAATGAGCAGGATTCGAGACAGAAAAGCCTGTGTGGGTACGCAGGGCATTGAGCTCGTGCAGATTTGTCCACAGGTGCAACTTGGTACATTTTAGTACTGAGTGCTTTTGATACACAAACTGGCCACCGAAACTCTCTTGGGTCAGAACGTGCAAAGGTGGGACAGCTTTATCCAGAACACGTAGACCACACAATTTCTCAAAGCTGGATCAGAATCTGTGCCAGCCTGTGGTGGAACCATGAAAGCCACCCCCAGGAGTTGCATTTCCCATTGGGATATCAGGTGGGGACAAGTCCCTGCCACAGGAATGGAAAATCCATGGTGGGGTGGGAAGGGCCAAGATGCTGCCCTGGCAGAGAAGGGGGGATGTGCCACTGCAACATCTCCCAGCAATGCTGCTGTGGGTGGAAAAACACCATTAAGCTGGGACAAAGTCTAGGAAAGCAACGGCAGAGTCTGTCTCCCTCTAAATGTGATGTCTCCATCATCCAGACCCAAAGCCATGCTTTGGACCTCCCTGCACCAGTCTTGGTTTTCCAGCTCCTTAACTGCATCAGAACAAGGCCAAAAAAATTACTTCTTTTTATATTCTTGTAATGGGTTGACCCTGGCCAGATACCAGGTACCCACTAAAGCCACTCTCTCACTCTCCCTCTGCAACTGGACAGAGGACAGAGAAAAAAAACAGCTAAGAATTCCTGAGTAGAGCTAAGAGCTGGGAGAGGTCAGTGACTGATCACCTTCACGGGCAAAACAAGACTCCAAGTGGGGATAGTACTTATATTTAATAGTAACAGGATAAGAGCCAAAGAGTGAGAAATAAAACAGTCTTAAAAACACCTTCCCCCCCCATTCCTTCCATGTTCTCCCTCCTCCCCCCCAGCAGGGAGATGGGAGGGGATGGGAATGGGGGTCACGGTCAGTTGTTGTTTCTGCCGCTGCTCAGGGAGAGGAGTTGGAGTCCTTCCCCTGCTCCCGTGGGGTCCCTCCCATGGGAGACAGTCCTTGATGGACCTCTCCGGCGTGAGTCCATCCCTCGGGCAGCAGCTCTTCCCAACCTGCTGGCCATCTTGCTTCTCTGAGGCTCGTGATGACGCCTTTTTGCTTTCCTTATGCTCTCGAGCCAGCTGCTCCAGCTCCCTTCTGCAAGCCAAAGAGAAAACACCCCTGAGAGTCACCACCAGAAACCTGGGCTCGCTGTAATCCCAGCTGGCTTTGCCCTTCACTCCTCGACCCTGAGGCCAGGCAGAACTGTCAGACCATCTCCGTGGACCTTCCTCAACCCAGACAGCTTGGGAACATCCCAAGTGAGGAAGGCTGGGAGGCGACCTCCTGGGCCAGCCAAACCTAAGCCTTGCCATCAGAAGGTATCAACTGTGCAGCTTCTCCCCTGAGACCCACCCGGACACCTCCAGCACGCTGCCAAAGGCTGATCCACCATCTCTCTGCAGGGATGACTGATGCTGCTCCTCTCTTGGTTTCCCAGTTTAGACCTGCCCATAAATTGCTAACACCTACTTATCCCTCCTCCAATGCTTACTTGGCTCCTTCAGCCCCCTTCTCCCTGGGCTGTGCCTGCTCATTAATGAGAATAATCATAGCAATCAGAAAGCAAAGGCTGCAGGAAGTCCCCTCCTGCAAATCAGGCTCTGATTCACCAGGTTTCCTGCTGGAACACAGCTGTGACCAGGGCACACTCGTGCTGTCTGTCCTGGGAACTGATTTGAAGCAGTCCTGGCCATCTCCTCCCAGTACAACAAACATCAGCCTGGGCTGAGAGAAGTGCTGAAACACAGGCTCACTTTAAGCAGCTTCCCCTCCCAGCTCCACACTCTTCCTGTGCGTCCTCCTGAGCTGGGCTGCCCTGCTGGGCCAGAGCTTCTCCCAAATTCACCTGCTGCTGCAGCTGAAGGGCAGCTTAAGCTTTTATGGATGGTGCTCCACCCTAAGGAAAGCCCTGACACATCAGCATTGCAAGGACTTCATCTAGAGCAGGACTGGGGTCTAAAGCAAGCCAGCACAGCTGTGTCCCACACCAGCCCACACCACAATCCTGCGGGTTTGGTGAAGAAGGGGGACGATGAAGATGAGAACCAACATCACGCACTTCGAGACACTTCCGTGGGCAGTGACAAGGCAAGCCCAGAGCCCAACTCCCCTCAGGCCATGTCTAAGCCAGAGGGCTCACGGCTAAAACGGAGAGATGATGTTCTCATCTCAACAGAGGGAAGTCCTTCCTCTCTTGGGAACTGGGGACCTGGACCTGGCCATCCTTGTGCTGCTTCTGGCCTTTGCTCTTGAACCCCTCTGAGCTCAACCAAGGTCCTTGGAGCAGAGAAACCCTCCAGGGACACTACCCTGAGGAGTAACCCAGGGGAGGTTTACTTACCTCTCCTTCCGCTCACGCTTGATTTGTTCTATTTTGTAATCAAGCAGAGCTTTCTGCTTCTCAGAGAGGGCTTCGTACTCGTCCACATCCACATCCCAGAGATGTTCTTCCTCTCTCCGGGCAGCTTCTTCCTTCTCCCGTGCTTCAGCACAGACCACAAGAGAAGCCATCAGTGACTGCGAGCAGAGCTTGGGGCTCTGGGTCAGCTGGGAGCATTCACAGCTTTGAGCACGCACAGGAGAGAAGATGCCAGGCTGCTCGCAAAGAGGGTCTCCAGGCCATCAAACACCCCTCCCTTGTAGCAGTCACTCAGCTGCCAGGAGAGACAAACAGGAACAGCGAGTCAGCCATCGCACACGTTGGGCTCGCAGCGGGTCAGTAAATGCAGATGTCTCAGGACACCAGTCACTGTCATTCCAAGTGCATTAGCTACGACCAGCTTGGATCTGCCAACTTAGGGCATCTGCACCTTCCCCCAAGGATCCCTCATGCGGCACAGGATCCTCCAGCAGCAGGCACAGACCTCCTCCTCCTCTTCACCGAGCTGTACCTCACTGCCTGTCTCTCTGGAGCAGGAATGTCTCCCTTTCCCCCACGCCACGTACCTGCAGCCGTTCAGAGATGATTTCCACCAGCAATTCCTCGGGCAGCACACAGCTCCAACACTTCCTCTTTTCCTCCTTTCTCCCTGTCCTGGTGAGGATGGTCAGTCGCTGTGGTGCAGGAGCGGTGGCGCAGGAAACGGCTGCCATCTGCAATGTGGAGCATGGTAAGGAAAATAAACCCCTGCAGAAAGCCCTGGACAGTTCCCAGTGCTGGGCTCACATCTGGGCTTCCTCGCTAGCGGAGACAAGGGCAACCCTGCAGTGCAGGCCCTGGAGGGCCCGTCCCTTGGCCAGCAGAGACCCAAGCTTGCAAGCCCCCGGCACAGCCTCCCACGGCTTTGCTCGCCGCCTGCAGCCAAGTTAGCCAGGAATGCACTTTGCCCACAAACCATTAAGAACCAATGGTGCTTTTCTGCCAGAGCACATTCCCACCCCAAGCCATGCCCAGCTGGCCCTTGGCACTGTAGACCTTGCACCAGGCCCTTGGTGACAGGGAGCCTCCACTGTAAGCAGCCCCTTCCCATCTCAATGGCAACAGGAAGGTCCCAGGCATTAACCAGTGCGGATCATGATTCACCTTGGAGGGCACTGAAAATCTTGCCTGGGGTTTGTCAGATGCCTTATCCTTGGTTGCTGAAGCGCTCTGGTGTCCAGCACTGAGGGTCTTCTGGCTGGCTTTGTCCCCAGGGCTGGGCTGGGTTTTCTTGGCCTCAGCACCCTTTTTACCTGCAGAGGGGACAGATGGCTCAGCAGGGCTGTGAGGAGTGAGCAGGCACCTTCCACCCCAATGGGCACAGCCTTGCCCCTGGAAGGGACATGGCACTTGTCCCCCAGCCTGCTGGGCACTGGCAGCACTGCTTCCCAGAAGCAGCTCCTTCCCTGCTTATCAGCAGGATACAGCACACCAGCCCAGACTGGATTTTAAAGCCAGCCCTAGGTCCCTCCTAACAAATGTGCACGCAGGTGACACTGCTAGCACAGTAGTTCCCCTACGGATCAAGCCAAAGATTTGCCCTCCAGGACTATTGTTTCCATACCTTGCACCCATCCTGCATTTTCACATGGAGACTGTAACATGCAGCCCTGCCCCAGCTGCATCACCCGCCTCTGCTGGAGCTAAATCCTCCGTGTGGGAAAACCCCAGCTGGGATCCACACCTTTCTTCCTTCCACCAGCTCTGAACCCAAGCAGGTTCAAAGCAAAGCAATGCAAAACTTCTCCCCACACTAAGCAGGTCTGCCCTCACCCTGCAGAGCTCAGGGCACCAACTGCCAGCAAAGTTTCCTGAAAGTCTCCAGTCTGATCTGGAGAACAGCACAGCGTGCACAAGCTGCATGAGCCAACAGTGGGCATAGGAAAATCTCTGGAGAAAAGAGCTCATCTACAGCATGTTTCTCATTGGAAACTCCTCTAGGAGCTTATTCTTCCCTTCCTCTCACATTTGCAAAGCCACACTCATAGCTGTCTTGTGCTTAATGAGCCACTTCAGAGGGCTTTTTCCTTCTGAAGGTGGGCAATGGTTCTGCCTGCTGCCCATGAGCAGCAAGCTGGATTCAGCTTTGAGGAAATAGAAAAAATTCAGAGAAAGAGACAGGTGTGCTTCACCACCCCTAGAAAAAGGAATATGTGCCAAGAATGGCAGTAAAAGTGCCCCTGTGGGAGCCCTTCAAATGGAGCTTTCTGTTTCCAAACTAGCCAGAGATGCACAGCACCCATGTTG